AATTCTACCTTACAAATCAGGCTGGACCGGAGGATGTACACTGGTACAGATAGGAACTGGAAACACAGGGAATCCAGGACAGATGAGCCCCTCAGGACCAGTGGTGAGAGTGGTGATACCGGGAGGGTGGAGGAAAGGTGGGGTAGAAAGGGAGAACCAATGACAAGGATCTATAGATAATCTCCTCCCTGGGGGATGGACAGCGGAGAAGTGGGTGAAGGGCGATGTCAGACAGTGTAAGATATGACAAAATAATAATAATTTATAAATTATCAAGGGTTCATGAGGGAGGGGGAAACAGGGAGGGAGGGGGAAATGAGGAGTTGATACTAAAGGCTCAAGTAGAAAGCAAATGTTTTGAGAATGATGAGGGAAACAAATGTACAAAAGTGCTTGACACAATGGATGGATGGATGGATTATGATGAGTTGTACAAGCTACCAATAAAATGATTTTTTTTAAAAAGACAAATGTTCTGGGGAAAGAAGAGAGATATGACACTTGAAAAGTCTTAATGTCTTAAATAACACATTTCTTTTTGATAATCTTCTTCCTAGAATACAGAATCTAACAATATGGATCCAGAAAATGTGGAATCTCAAAATGAAAAAGTGGTGGAAAGGGATACGCTTTCTTCAGTTTCTGCTCTGCAAGCCCTCTCTAAACTACTTCATCCTGAAGAAGAGCCTGATGTTGAATTTGAACAGGTGGTCATATACTTTAAGATAAATTACTTCTGTTCACATTAAGCTATGAAACTGTATTTGAATAACTTGTTCCACCTGCAGTGGTAGCAGGACTATGTAATTTGATAACATACACAGGAGGTTGCAAGGCTGATTATGCATGAGATTATAACCTCTAGCACATTTCTAGCAAACATAATTATATTTTTTTCTAAACCACCTGAACACTGAATAGGAAAATAGTTCTGTAACTATGGTAGCAATAGCCACATTTCACAATGTTTGTCATCTATATTTATGTCCAAAGAATACTTGACAACCACAGCAAGAATAGTAGCTGGGACAATGTAAGCCTAGACATTATTTCACAAAACAAATCATTTCAATTACATAATCTTAATGGGGCCTAAAGTACTAGTCCCCTTCCTTTTCCTTTTTGTCTACCCATGAATGCAGAAGTGAAAAGATTTTGAGGCATTTAATGGACAAACTAGGTTTATCCTACTAAAATTGGCTTCTGTATACATACTTGGCTGTGGAGTCGAATTAATTAAGTAGCATTTGGGGTCAAAACTGGTAACCCCAGGGGGTTTTGAAGCAGGGAGCTGAGCTTCACCTTGGCTAAAAGACTTGTAGCCACTTCAAGGTCACTGCCAGTATTCCCTGAATGATAAGCACTTGTTTATAACGTGTCCTGCATTCCTCTCTCCTCCTCTTCAACTGTCAGGGAAGCCAAAGAAAATTTGCAGCAGACACTTCACTGTTATTATACAATGTATCCATTTGCAGAGAATTATTTTCATGACTTTTTCATTGCTATGAATAAACCATCTTCCATGAGCAAACATATTAATTTATTCCTCTCTCCAATATTTGCCCCATAACGTGGGAAAGTCTGTGTAATCTGAATATGTAGCAAGTTCAGTGGACTCAATTACTATCTGAATATGTAGCCAGGAAGAGCTTTGGTGGAATGAGAAGAATCAAATAAAACATGAAATGGAAATGAAATTTGTAAAAGTAGGGACCTGAACTTGGAAGTAGGATTGGGAACCAAGAATTTGAATCAGGGAAAAGCCTTAGTAGAGGCTGAACAAATAAAGGAAAATCAGAACGTTAATAACTGCAGATATAACAAATAGGACCCAAGAGAAAAAAATTAGGAACAATGTTTCAATGGAGTTAGAAACAAGGTCTTTTTGTTGTTTCCTTGGCTGAAATAGCAAAACAACAATTTCTGGAGGGTACATCCCGAGAAAGATAGGGCTATGTCTACCCTTCCCAGAAAAAAAAAATTAAAACTAAGTATTTGAGAACTTGTGATCCTAAAGGAAGGAAAGTGACAACCTGTAACTGGAACAGTTCAGAGATAGAATTTGTCCTTGGCATTTGTGTAGTATGAGGTTTATTTGCATCTAGCAGTGTTTCTAGGGGAAAAATGAGTGCTTATGAGAACAGAAACACTTGGATCATTTTAGTGAATTGTACAGTTTATAGAGGAAAATTACTATAATAACGTGTGATTCTGTATATCTGGGTTATAAGCAATTTTGAGATAATTGGTCATTCAGATATTGCAGTACAGATATCATTAGAGGATATAGAATTCGAAAATCGGAACAGTGGGAGAATAATTAATGTTTCTAATGAACTATTACATTTTCTAGGAGAGAAACTGCTTTTCTCCCCGCCCCCCCCCCCAACATGTATTAATCTTGGGAGTTGTGGAGTGATTACAAGAGTGATGTGTTTTTGAGAATACACTCTCTGAAAACAGCAAGAGAACTGTTGTAAACACATCAGTTAATTTATACTAGCCCCACCATTGGGAAGAGAACAAGATTTTTAAACTCATGAGAGGATCTGAAAGCCTATATGAAGTAAAGCTGTTCTTAGCTGAAGAAATGAAGACTGTTCTTATACTGTGGAATATTCATGTTTTTTGCAGAGGATGGCAAACATTTTTTTTATTATATGAAGCCTGAGGTGGTTCAACATACATATTCCATTATTAACTGGGGCTGGTGAACTATTTCAACACCACAATGTTCAGAAGTACAAGCAGTTACCAGGGTCTTTGAGTGAGTCATTTGAATTCTAAATACTTAGACTCTACTTAATGGTTGAATTTTATTTCCAAACTATGACCAGACACTACTAATACTGCACAGATCTTAGAACACTTACAGATAAGGTTATCTTATTCTCTTATCCATCATCTTTTACTCCTGTTGCTATCAAATCAATTCAGACTCAGAGAACCTGTGAAACAGATAAGAACCATCTCATAGGTTTTCCATGGCTCTGGTGGCGCAGTAGTTCCAAATTGGGCTGCTAATTGTAAGGTCAATAGTTAAAAACCACCAGGTGCTCCTCGAGAGAAAGATGGGGCTTTCTACTCAAGAGGGAAAGCAGCAGTTCTCAACCTATGGGTTGCGACCCCTTTGCGGGCCGAATGACCCTTTCACAGGGGTCGCCTGATTCATAACAGTAGCAAAATGACAGTGATGAAGTAGCAACGAAAATAATTTTATGGTTGGGTGTCGCCACAACATGAGGAACTGTGTTAAAGGGTCGTGGTATTAGGTTGGTTGAGAACCACTGAGTTATAGCTTCAGAAACACATAGGAGCAGATCTGTCCGGTCCTACAGGGTCGCTATGAGGAGGCAGTGAGTTTTTTTGCTTTTATTTTTAACCGTTACAGGGAACAGATGGCCACATCTTTCTCCCACTGAGTAGCTGGTGAGTGTGAATTGCCAACTTTTTTCCCTCAACAGTTTTATTGGCACGTGGTTTAGATACAATTCAATAGTTCAATTATTTAATCATATCAAGGAGAACTGTACAATCATTACCACATCAATTTTAGAGCATTCCCACCCCGCCCCTGGTTAAATTGCCTATGAGTTATGTAATCACAATCCATTCTAGTGCGCCCTCCCCTTCATTATTTACTCCTGAAATCCCCTTTCCCTCCCTATCACCCACCTCCACCCTTATATTCCCTATATCACCTTGTATCCATTATTATCATTATATTTACACTCTTCCTGTGCTTCACACCTGGGAGACCCAACAGAAAAACAATAAAAAGAAAAATCGCGCCAAGGTGGTAAGGATAACAAAGACAAAAATACAAATAATGTGTAAGAAGAAAAAGACCTCCATCAACATTCAAAAAGCCCAGGAAGGAATTTCTATCATGGAACCAGTAAGAGATACTTGCTTCCAGAACAAATTCAGGTTGCATCTATAGTGTGGTCAACTTGGCCAAGTGTTGAGCTTGATCTAGCATAATCAAGATTACAATGGTCTCTGCCTGTTAGTAAGGCTGTTTGAGACTCTTGCCTGTGACTACAGCAGATCTGCCAGTGGTTCAGTCTGACTAGATTATCTGCTTATGGGTTTGGGGCTCCCACTGTCTCCCACAGCCCTCCACAAATTGGGTGCTCACAGTTTTAGCTCTGATGCTTTTCTCCTCACCATATTCGTATTTTGTAATTGTCATCTTTGCATCACACAAGCTGCTGTGCTTCTTCAGTGTGGACTTCGTTGACTCCTCACTTAGATGGCTGCTTGTTTGAATACAAGCCTTTAGGACCCCAGACACTATTCTGATTGCTAGCCAGGCATCATCTGCTTTCTTCACCATATTTTGCTGTAGCGCCCTTATCTTTAGTGATTATTTCGTGAAGGTACATATGTAGTAGGACCATGATGTAAAAACTGTTTTTTGGGTTGTCGGAGTTAGGATTTAGTGCGAGCCCAAAACCTGCATCTATGCTTTTTATTTATTTATTTTTAATTTGCTGTAACTTGAGAGTTAATACATATGTCACATCGTTCCATAGTTCAATCATGTCAAGCATAATTGTACAATTGCTTCCATAAGCAGTCTCCAAACATACTTTTCCTTCCTGGACTTCTTGCCATCATCTCCGTCTTATCTCCCCCACACTTTATATACTCCCCTCTGCCCCCAAAACTCTTGTTATATTTGCTTTCCCTATAGGCTCACCTTCCTGGGTTTCATTTACCAAAAAACAAAGAAACATATAACACAGCTTTGAGCCCCAATGGTGACTTACCTCTGACATAACCCTAATATAAACAGGCAAAAGCAGAATATATCAGAATGGCAGTCGCAGGATTGCCAGAATAATACATATCTTAATACAGCAATCAGGGCATTGATGTAGCCAGACTTTGTTTGTTCTCCAATGAACAGTACACCACTCTTGGTCCTGCTGTCTTCTGCTTCCTCAGACACCATGTGTTTCCCAGCTTAAGTCCTCAGGTTACACGTGTGTCTTGGATAGAGTCCAGTTCACCCAGTGGAGTTCCTGCATGCAGCCTCTGAAGCATGACTTGCATGTGCACCCCGAAGATCCATTCAGCATCTCAGCATTCTACAGCACCTGCCTGGGTTCCCGTGATACCCCCAAACGCCCTTGGTCAATTCTGCCCTCTTGCTACATGCCAGAACTGCCAACTTTTCAGCTGCGCACTTAATTACTACACTATCAGGGTTCATTCTCTATCCCTGATGAACAATTTTACTCAATTTTAACTGTTCAACTTGTTCTGCTCAAATGGCTGTCTTTGGTTTATGTACAAGTTCCACAGGAGTAAAATTAAGTGTCCTTAAATTCCCATTCTTTAAGATGTTATTCATAGTTCGTTATCATCCACAAAGTCTTTGCATAGTCTATAAAACAGGAACATCTTTCTGGTATTCTCTGCTTTTAGCCAACATCCATTTGATCTCAGCAACGATATTCAATTTTTGAATTATCTTCAGCAAAATTGTACTTGCCTTTGATATTAATGATAATTTCTGCATTCTTTTGGGTTATCTTTTTTTGAATGGGCACAAATATGGATCTCTTCCAGTCAAATGACCAGGTAAACTGTCTTCCAAATTGCTTGGCATAGATGAGTGAGTGCTTCCAACACTGCTTCTGTTGATTGAAACATTTAGGTTGGTATTCTATCAATTCATAGAGCCTTGAGTTTTCACCAATGTCTTCAGTGCAACTTGGACATTGTTCTTTAATACGCTTGATTCTTGATCACATACTACCTCCTGAAATCATTGACCACAGAATCCTTCAATGCTACAACATGATGCTTAAATGTGTCCAGTTCTTTCAGCCTGAGAAATGTTGAGTATGTTCTTCCCTTTTGGTTTTATTAGCCTTTGCATGTTTTATTTTAATACTTTACTTCAGAAATCTACTCAATGACAATAGATTTGGCTTTTGTATTTTATCTTCTTGAGCAGCCTTTTGAAATTTTCTGTTCAACTGTTTTACTTAATCATTTATTGCATTCACTTTAGTTACTCTAAGTTCAAGAACAAGTTTCAGCATCTCCTCTGACATTCACTTTGATCTTCTCTTTCTTTCCTGTGTCTTTTAAATTATCTATTGCTTTCTTCATAATGATGTCCTTGATGTCATTCCAGAACTCATCCGCTCTTTGGCCATTAGTGGTCAATACATCACATCTATTCTTGAGGTGGTTTATAAATTCAGGTGGAATACACTCGTGGCTATATTTTGGCTTTGGGGCAAGTCTGCCCTACCCACCCAACCCACTGCTGTCCAGTCAATTACAACTCAAAGTGATCTCATTAGAACAAAGTAGAATGGTTTCATAGGGTTTCCAAGGCTGTAAATCTTTACAAAAACAAATAGTTTCATCTTTCTCCTGTGCAGAAGCTGTTGGGTTCAAACCACCAACCTTTTGGTTAGAATTCCAGTGCTTAGCTCAGAATTTCTTCAATCCATCCTAGGGCCTATTAGGACAAGAAAGAAACATTGAAAATAAAACTTGGCATCCGTCTCTTTGTTGTATAAAATGATATGCAATTGAACTGGGAAACTCTATATGACTATTTTAGATGAAAAGCTTATAAAATCTGAGTTGTTAAAAAATTAAATTATTACCAGTTGTTTATGTTATAATGTTGGACATTTTTTTTCCTACTCCAGTCAATTTATGCATCAACTACTGGAGCCATGGGCCCTGGGAATATTGGGCCACCAAAGAAAGAAGAAGCAAAAAGTAAGTTATCTAACAAAACAGTAGAGATTAATGTACTATTTTTTCTTGGTACAAAAATTTCAAGTATACTTTGGAGTTATTACAGATTTAGCTCCAGACCACCCAATCCAATAAAGCGAGTCACGCAAATTTTTGGTTTCACAGTGTATACAAAATGTATACATATACATTGTACTTTAGCGTGTGCAAGAACATTCTGAAACCGTTTAAAATATTGTAAGAATTAACAAAATGTGACACAGATATGGAATGGGCACCTGCTGTAGGAAAAATGGTGCTTATAGACTTTCCCAATGCAGAGTTGCCACAAACCTCCAATTTGTACAAACAAAATGTTTGCAAAGCACAATAAAACAAGATATACCTGCGTGGGGAGAGTAAGACTAGTCACCATTCAAAACACTAAAAACAAAAAAGTTTTTGTGGAGTTTCTCTGGTTCATGACAACCTTGTGCTCTATAGGTTTTTTGAAAAACAGTTAAAATAAAAAGACCATTTTAGAAAAAGTGGGAACAATAACTTCTAAGTGGAGAAAAATAACTAACTTTTAAGGGCTCTAAGGGGGAATTATGCCTGGTAATATGCACCTAATAAGCCACATTGTCCTGGGCTTCTGTACACCCCATAAGGACCCATAGCAAGTGCCATAGACCACTAGGGCATTGAATCCTGGATCTTTAAGATGCCCAACACCCTCCAAAGGCCAAACCAGAGGGATCCATTGTGGAAACCCCACTAGGTGAACTAACCTAAAGACTTAAGACTGAAAATTCATGGTGTTTGAAGAAGCAGAAGACAGCTATACCAAGAGTTTTGAACTGTAGGTAGGCAGGCAAACATTGACTTAGTCTATCACTGCCTACTTGATGTATTCATATATATATTACTCTGGCAGACCTGTGATTGATGTTGTCAGTGAATATTATTGTAAAATTTGCCCGACAGCCAACTCCCGATGTTTGTATAAATAACATCAAGCCATGTAAAGATTTATTCTGTACACGTGAATAATTTAGGTGTTGCGATTTGTAGTTAGCCTACACTGGTCAAATATCCCCCCCCTCAACAGTGTCTTAAAAATTAGTACCAGGGGCTTATCAATGACACTATTAACAGAAGATCCTTATGTTCCAGGGAGATGATCAATAAGATTTTCTACCATAAATTAACAAGGAGGTCACTAAGGGGAGCCAAGGCAGATTAAAAAAATCCATGAATGGATTGCAGGTTTACACTAAATCCTAGCTCCAATTTAAGAACGATTAGTTCTTACAACATAGCCAGGCTCGATACTCACCCTCATGAAGGAAACACAGAAGATGGGAGTGACAAAGAAATTAGAAGGTGTGGGGACTGAGAAGCCCCAATTCTGTGAGTCATATGACAGGCTGAAGAGCTCTGCTGGTTCCTGTGGTGGAAAGAGCTACATCTCAAAATCTGTGGGTCAGATGGCTGTCTGAAGTCCTCTGCTGACTCATGGGGTTGCTGGGGTGGTCGGAATCTGCAGATCAGATGGCAGGCCAGAGTTTTGTAGGTTTATATCCCAAGAATCAGAGGTCAGGCGATGAGAAGAGTACAGGGTCCAGAAAGGGAGAGAAAGCTTTGCCAAAGCAGCTCATTTATATAGCAGGCCACACCTAGAACAAAACTCCCTCTTTCAAATGATTGGCTGCTCACATCAGATCACAAAATGGAAAGTGATTAGATAGTGGTTGCCAAACCATCGAGAACCATAGCCTAGTCAAGTTGACACATAATATTAACCATCACAATTTCTTTGCTTATATTTGTCTACAGGGATAAAAAACCCCAACTAGATACCTATATACCAGCTATATACTTATCTCTAAGTAATTGAATTGTAGATTTCAAATTTTTCTTTCTTTCTTTTTTGGTTATATCTATATTTTCTACCTACCATTAACATGTATTCGTTTTGTGCTGACAAAACAATTAAGGTTGGTCATTACTAGTTTAGCTTGTTTTGATTAAAAAAAATAAGCTAGTGACTACAACTAGAACATATTTTACTTGAATTGTCCCAAACTGAGTGTAGCGAGGAATAAGAGAGCAATTTCTAGAGAAGAAATGGACAACAGCCTTAGTATAACCTTCCCTTTCTTTATAGTCATGCCTCAAACCAGTGCTGAAAAGAGTGAAGATATTTGGAATCCGGAAGAGGTCCCAGAAGGAGCAGAACATGATGACCTGTGGGATGCTAGAGAAATCCCTGAGTAAGTCCAATGAAGCCTGGAATGTGTTTAAAGGTTTATATGCCCTCTGATCCCATCTGATGTTTGACAAGATGCATAAAGTGACGTACGCCACAAAAAAGATAGAACTACAGTGACATATGTAATTGATTTTTTTCATTTAGAGACAAATACTAAAGCATAAAATCTTCTTTTCAGTTACTATCTTAAGAAAATAAAAAACACAGTCATGGGGAGTGGGGAGGGAGTGGAAAAATGAGGAGCTAATGCCAGGGGCTTAAGTAGAGAGCAAATGTTTTGAGAATGATGAGGGCAATGAATGTACAAATGTGCTTTCCACAATTGATGTATGTATGGATTGTGATAAGAGATGTATGAGCCCCTAATAAAATGATTTTTTTTAAAAGAAAGAAATATTTCACAATATATAATTTAAAAAAAGAAAAATACAGTCATTTCCATTATAAATTTATATTTAATGTCAGTTGCGTAATGTAACTAACAATGGGAGAATCCCAGCACCTTAAATTACAAACATTCATTCATACAAACCAAACTACAGATGGTATTGATGTATCAAAGGCCTGCTTTTAATTAATAACTCAGTTTCATAATTTTTATAAAGTGTTGTACCTTCCCGCTAATGATTACCTGGATTTATTTATTGATTTTTCTAGGAATAAAGTTAGCATTTAAGAGTCCTGATGGCATAGTGGTCATGCATTGGGCTGCTCACCTGAAGTTGAGCAGTTTGAAACCACCAGCTACTCCCAGGGAGAAAGCCGGTCTTTTTTACTCCCTTAAATAGTTAGAGTCTCAGAAACTCCCAGGGGCAGTTCTACCCTGTCCTATAGGGTCACTATGAGTCAGCATCAACTCGATGGCGGTGAGTTTGGTTTATAGTTAGAATTCAGTATATTTTGCCAGCAGAATTGAAATCTTCTTTTGTAGCCTTTCAATATAATCAGTTTGTAAACATGAAATTTAGAGTAATTGTTATGAAAACCGCCCACTCTTATTTATTTTTCTTAAAGAAATGCTCATTTCTCTTGAATTTGTGATTCCTGGCATAGTAAATCAGATGGCCTTTTGATTCAATATGGCCAATACCAATTGATCCATTTCCACTCACTAATGCATCCCATTTAATTTTTGAGGCTTCCGATTGTTCTAGATTCATACTTGATATCTTCCACATTCTGATTATTAATGGATGTTTGCAGCTGTTCCTTCTGATTTTAAGTCATGCTTCCCTAGCAGCAAATGAAGGTCCTGAAAGCTCTATTCAATCCGTGTCATTAAAGTCAACTCTACTTTGAGGAGGCAACTCTTCCCTAGTCCAATTTTTGTGTTTTCCAACCCGAAGCGCTCATCTTTAGGCAATGTTCTACTTCCATTTATAAGTTTTCAGCTACTAATTTTTTAGAAGTGATCTGCCTCTTCCTTCTTCCTAGTCTTAGACTTGCAGCTCTGCTAAAACCTGTCCATCATGACTGACCCTGCTGGCATTTGAAATACCAGTGTCAGAGCTTCTAGCATCACAGTTAACATGCAAACCACCACAATATGGCAAACTCATAGATGAATGGTCGAAGCTATAAGTATGTGTGTGTGTGTGTATTTGATTGAATATTTAGAAGAACTTGTAAGCAAATAACATTTGTTTACAACAATAACCTGTAAACACAGGTTCATATTTGTGCTAAATTCTCATGTATTTATTAATTCTGGATGATTTCTATGACAAATGATTTGACAGCTTTTCTAATTCACACCAAAAATCTGCCTCAAACTTTATGAAAACTCAATAATGTCTTTATAGTCTATGGCATTTCTGTAAAAAACAAAACAAACAAAAAATGTGGGGTTTCAAAAAGTTCATACAAAGTATTACATCTTTAAATTCCATTTTCCATGAACTTTTCCAAGTCCCCCTGTAGAAGCAAAGGAGCTCTGGTAGCGTAGTAGTGTGGTAGTTATGCATTGGGATGCTAACTGCAAGGTCAGCAGTTTGAACCCATCAGCTGCTCCTCGGGAGAAAGATGGGGCTTTCTACTCCCATAAAGAGTTGCAGTCTCGGAAACGCACAGGGAGCAGTTCTGCCCTGTCCTATAGGGTCGCTATGAGTCGGCATCAAATTGATGGCAGTGAGGTTATTTTGTTTGTTTTTGTAGAATCAGGGTGAACTGCAGATTACTAAATAAAAATTTAAAGCTCCCAACTTTCAAATAAACATGCCAAAAATACTTAATCTTTGTTTTGAAAACTGAAAGATTCCAAGAATGTAGAGGATAGCTCATGTTGTGCATATATAATGCCCAAATATCCATACGAAAGGGGAGAATTAAGTCACTTTCCCTAATGTCTAAGGAACATCAAACATCTACATGCGACAAGCTCCACATTTGAGTAAATTTTTGCTTTTTGTCATGGCGTTTGATGTTTTATAGATGAAAGGTTCTATACATGAAAGGGTTAATTTAATGATGCCAGTCAAGATATGAAGAAAATTGCTGTATGAGCTTTTCAATGTTTCTTTTCTTCCTCATGTATATACATTCCAAAATGTCCTGAAACCAAATAGGAAAATGGGTAAAGGGTATGAACAAGCAGCTCACAAAAGAAGAATCACAAATGACCAAATGAAAAATAAAGATCATCCGGGTCTTCATCTGAGAGATTCTTGAGGAAAGATTTGGTTTTTGAGTAGATGTAATCAATGAAAGAAAAGAGATCATGCCATTGTTTACTAGTTTGGATGATTGGAAGAATAACGATGGCATTAAGTCTTCCAGGAAGTACGTGGAGCAGAAGCAGTAAGTTTGATTATGAATATGTAGAATCTGAATACTTGTGGAACCCTGGTGGTGTAGTGGTTACACAGTAGGCTGCTAACCACAAGGTCTGCAGTTTGAAAGCACCAGCCGCTCCTTGGGAGAAAGACGAGGCTTTCGATTTCTGTCAAGAGTTACAGTCTCAAAAACCCACAGGGGCATTTCTACCATGACCTATAGTGTCGCTAGGAGTTGTCATCAACTTGATGGCAGTGAGTTTTTCGTTTGTTTGAGATGCTGTGGGGCACCCAGACAAACTGAAATTGAAAAACAAACAAACAGTTGGACAATTGCGTCTGAAGCGCTGGATAAGAGCGGGATCTATTTGAAAGCCACAGGCATGTGGGTTATTAATACTTTTCTGTTCTGTTTTAACCTGACTTCAACTTTGGAGATGTTTGGTAGAATGATGGCTTATTAAGAAACAAAGTCCCATGAGGAACGACTACTTCTTGTCAGTCCTGTTTAAATTCTTTTTGGTTGTTGTTGTTCCTGGGCATTCATATTTGCACATTGTTCAATATAGTCTTTTAAAACAGATTATTTTATTGGGGGCTCATAGAATCTAGTCTTTTTGTCTTCCCATCTGGAGAGTTACCATTTATTTGTTAAGGTACAACCAGAGGGAAAAATAGTTTGTAAATGTGTGTTGATTTCATTCCTTCTGGTAAGTCTTGTTTGGGTGCTTCTAAAAGCGATTCTATTCCGAAGGGCCCAGCTTTGGGAGGAACAAAAAAGATATGTGAATTGATGTGTATGTGACAAAACACCAAAAGTCATTTTCATTGAATTATGAATTCTGCAGGACTTGATTTTCAAACATGATAGTGCACTGGTGCACTAAATTTATTGTAGAATTGTAGAGTGGAAAGAACCACAGAGATCATTTCGTACAGGTGCCTCTGTCCCCATAAATTGTATGAATGTGGAATTGTGAGACCCTATAAGTTTGTGATTTTCCCAAAGCCACACAGTTCATGATAGAAACAGTACTAAAAATCGATCCTGTGCTGAATTCTCTGCTCTGTAGCTTACACTTAACATATGAAGGTATCTAGATTTGATGGACAGAAATCCACCAAATATTCCTTTTACTTCTAATTTTCATCTTATTAGAATATTAAACGTTTTCTCAGTCTGTTTTATTTCTATCATTTGGAAACAGCTAAGCTATATTTTAGAAAACTAGTATATATGAAACTAATATATAATGAAAGGAACCCTGTTGGTGTAGTGTGACTTACTCGTTGGGCTGCTAACCGAAATGTCAACATTTTGAAACCACTAAGAACTCACTCTTCAGGAGAAAGATGAAGCGTTCTGCTCCCATCAGATGTACAGCCTTGGAAACTCACAGAGGCAGTTCTACCCTGTCCTATAGGGTTGCTGTGAATTGGAGTCACCTCCATGGCATGGAGTGAAACTATATATGAAATAAACAAAACACAACCATTTAAGTGTTTGGCATTCTTGACTAAATTTCTATTCTTTTATGTTTCACTATGTACTTAAAAACTGCAAACACATTATATAGTCCTTTTTGGGGGAGAGGGGGAGTGTAATAGCATATCCTCATGAGGTTCTTAGTCTTATCCTTTGGGACAGAAAATTGCTCCTTCGTTTCAATCTTTGTTATCATTGACTTCTCTTTAGGTATGAGATTGTATTTAAACAACAGGTGGGAACTGAAGATCTGTTCCTAGGACTGACCAGAAAGGACTCATCAACAGCATGCTGTGAGGATCTTGTGGTAAGCCTGTTCCCTGCCCCAAGCCCCATTTTCTGTCTGACTCTTGTAGCTAAATGGAGTGAATATTGTGTATATAATAATATAGACTCTGTAAAATAGTTATTGGCATATTTCAGATACTGGGAGAGTAAAGAGCTATACAGTATAAAATTGGGAAGCATATACAGACATGTAAGAAACTAAATTTCACATGTGGGTACGTTTTACAAATGCATACAATAGAATTGCCTGGCATAATATAGGATTTTTAGTTCAATTAAAATTGCCCACTCTGTTTGGACTGATTTTTCTTATATACATGCCATTTGATTGGCTATTAATTTCTTATGAATTGGCAGGCAATCAGAATGAAATGCTTTCTGTTTTGAATCCTGTCTCATTTCTTAGTTCTGTATTTCTTTTAATGATTCAATTCACATTGGGAGAGTTTAAATAGGCTTTTCTTCTTAACTTCTGGATCTGAAATTTTTACTTAAAATTCTAAGGCAACTAAAATGATACTTGACTCCCTTATTTAAATGATTCCACAGTACGTTGGACAGCATCCTTGCCAAATCCACGTTTCTATATGTTCATCATAGCATGTCTTACAATATCCACTACATACTGCCTTACTTTTTCTCTTTGATCCTCATAATGGTCTTGTGGCAAAGTCTGGGCCTACCTAGTCTTGAGAGTGAAATGAGACTCATTTGGTAGCATACACAAGCATTTCTGGCATTGAAAATGCCTTTTCTGACCTACATCCACTATTTCCCCTATCTGTTACAAAACTCTACATGATACAGTAGTCAGGTGCCTCCACTTCTGACTCATGGTAACCCCAAATCCTATGAACTCCTGTGTGTCATAGTAGAACTGGATGCTATAAAGTTTTCATTGGCTGATTTAGAAGTAACCTGCCAGGCTTTTCTTCTGAGGTACCTCTTTGTGGACTTGAACTTCCAACCATTAGGTAAGTAGTCAAGCACATTACCTGTCTGCACTACCATGGACTCCAAGGTGTTCATAGGAGATGCTTAATGTATCTTCCTTAAGCAAAGAGTAATAGAATCTCTCTTTTTCATGAAATTTAGATTTTTCTCTTATTAGGAAAATCTAAAATATTCAATTGAATCATGTAACATACTGGGAATAGTGAATTTAAGTACCCCAGGAGATTTTTCTAACTCTAATGAGTTAAGGTTTCAAGTGATCTTGAAGTAATTAGCTCCCTGGGTTTTGTCAGCAATATCAAACTTATCAAATTTCTCTCGTTTAAATTGCTGTAAAATTAAGTTTTTGATATTTAGTGTTGAGGGTTACTCTAAACTCTAAAGAAATTTTAGACCCTAAATAAATAAAGCTGTTGTGAGCCTTCCCATTTCTCTCCTGCAAATTGCTACTAGTCTTATTAATGAAGGTATCCTGAATGAAAATTCTTGGAAAAGAAACCATATCTCAGAATAGGAATCTATAATTTACCTAAAACTCAATAAGTATATACAGGAGGGAAGTCAATCTCTCCCTCTCATTAGATTTATAACTGATTGGGGAGACAAAACTAACAAACTCTTTTTATTGTTAACAAGTTTAAGTATATTAGGAGTTCAGAGGACTTGGCTAAGTGTCAGACTAAGACACCTCTGGAGCCCTGGTGGCATAGTGGTTACAAGTTGGTCTGTGATCTGTGTGGCCGACAGTTTGAAACCACCAGCAGCTCCTCAGGAGAAAGACTAGGCTTTCTACTCCTGTAAATATAATCTCAGAAATCCACAGTGAGGGTGGCAGTGGAGGGGTGTCAGCATGGATTGTTGGCAATAAATAAGGTTTTTTTTTTGGGGGGGGGGAAGACACCACTGAATGAAATACAATACTTACAGATCCCATGGCACTTTACAAGGAGGCCTGGTGGTGCTGCAGGATAAACACTGGATGGCTAACCACAAGTTTGGAAGTTCAAAACCCACCAGAAAGATGAGACAATCTGTGCCTGTAAATATGTATAGTCCTGGAAACTCTATGAAAGAATCACAATGAGTTGAAATGGACCCTGGCCGGTGGGTTCGGTTTGGGGTTACCGTGTGTGTTTTCTTTTCCTCTTTCTTTGCTTTGCTTCATTTGTTCACTCGTTAAATACTTGATGAATACCAGGGATATCATTATAAATAAGGAACAGTTAACTTCCCTCAAGGAATTCAAGACCATGAGCACCTAAGAAATTATTGCAGCTCAGTATGATAAACACATAGAGGCATATATAGCATGTACATAATGACATGAAGCGGAAAAAGATCAACTCTGTTGGGGTGGGTAGGATTTTTGCAGTGAGCAATAAATGAGAACATTCTAAACATAAAATAGCAGGGCATGTTGAGAAAGGGGTAAGTATAACAAATATAAAGAATAATTGTGGATGGTGGTATAATAATCTGCTGGCACTTAAATAAAGAAACATAGAAAGTCCTGATTTGTAGCTTGAATTTTAACTCAGGCGCATGTAAATGTTGACATCCACTGGGAAAGACTCAGACCAAGGAAGTGGTTGACCTCATCGTAAGTAGTTCTTGCTCACATGTATAAAGCTTATTATTCCTGTGTATAATGTGGCAGCTTCTCAAATCTAAGATACCATCAGATTTTAAATGTGCCATTTATTTCCTAGCAATTTCTTGAAGTGTGTAGGATGGGATGGAGGTGGGTTGTGGGGGAAATAGGCACACTACCACATTAAGTGTTTACGATGATTGTGTGGTGCCTTCTATAATCAGAAACAATAACATGTGGGGAAAACGAAACCTCAGAAATGGCAAAATATGATATTTAGGTCTTGGACCTCGTTCATATCTAACAATCCAATAGAGACTTTTAGAAAATCCTACTTAAGCAATGGAAGGTAATAGGAGTACACAGCCCAATCTGTTTAAGTGCAGGGAATTATTTGAGGTTTTAAACAGGCACAAGGGATAAACTTGCACTGAAAACACAACATGATCTTATTTAAAAACAAAATGTACACGGTATCATCCTTTCTCCCACCCTCCTCACACTCCAAATAAGGAAGCTGTATTTGTGAGTCCTAAATCAGTACGAAGGATCTCTGGTGATACGACAGTTAAGTACTCATCAACCCTACCTGGCCAGTGGCTCTGCAGAAAAATAAAGACCCGGCGATCAGATCTGCTCCTGGAATGATTACAGCCAGGGAAGCCCTGTGGGCAATTCTGCTCTGTCATCTGAGGTCGCTGTGAATCAACATGGACTAGATGGCACCCAACAGCAACAGATCCAAGTGGTGTTCCTAAACGCCATTCTGAGTTGGGAACCATTCTGTGTTTTGAGCACAATTCCCATTCCTTCCTTCTAATGCCAAAGAATTCCCATTATCTAAATGCTGCCTGCCATTTTAGTATGGTATAATATCCCTAAGTTTGTAGCTGCCAAGTTGTTGCGTAATGGTTATACATTGGGCTGTGATCCTCAAAGTCAGCAGTTTGAAACCACCAGCCGCGCCTAGGGAGAAAAGCAACCACAAACCCCCTGCCATCGAGCCAATGCTGACTCATAGGGATCCCCTGTGGATTTCTAAGACTGTAACTGTTTATGGAGTTGAAAGACCAGGCTTTCTCCCACGCAACTACTGATTTCGAATAGCCAACCATGAAGATTGCAGCCCCAACACAGGACCACTACACCACCAGGGCTCCCCTCTGGAGAAAGATGGGGCTTTCTACTCCTGTAAAGAGTTACATTCTCAGAAACTCACAGGGGCAGTTCTTCCTGTCCTAGGGCCGCTATGAGTCAGGGTCAACTTCCATGGTGGTCGAGTTTGGTTTGGTTTGGTTTGGTTTGGGAAGGTAGTGGTGTTGGATGTGGTCCGGTAGATTTCAACTTACAATAACCCCATGTGACAGAACAGAACTACCCCAAGGGGTTTTATTGGCTGGAATCTTTTACAAGAGGATTCAAAACCACCAGCCTCTAAACCACTCAAGAACAGAAATGGGAATAGAAATACCAGGAGGGTAGGGGAAAAGTGAGGAAAGGAGGGGGGAAGCAACCACAGGGGAAGGGAGACAGCAGTGGGTGTAAGATGTGAAAATAATAATAATTTATAATTTATCAAGGGATCACGAGTGTGGGAGGGGGGATGGAGAAAAAAAAGAGGAGCTGATACCAAGGGCTCAAATAGAATGTAAATGTTTAGAAAAAAATTATGGCAACATATGTACAAATACGCTTGATACAATTGATGTATGGATTGTTATAAGAGCTGTAAGAGCCCCCAATAAAATGATCTTTAAAAAAAAAGAGTGACAGTCTCAAAAACCCACAGGGGCAGTTCCACCCTGTCCTATCAGGCCCCGATGAGTCAGCAACTACTCGATGGAGTGTTTTTTTATGCTTTTGTTTTTTGGAATCTTTTATGGAAGCACATTATCAGATTTTTATTTTCTCCTACAAAGCCGCCAAGTTACTTTTGCCTTAATCTCACTATTAAGATAGAGCCTAGTTAGAGATGAAACTAAGCTAGTGCTTTACAATTTGCTACTTTTTACGCAGTGAACGCTTTAAAAAATCTATGAGAAAATCCAATATATAAAAACAATGACAGTACCACTGTGTTCTTTGCAAAGATACTGCCAGTCAGGAGGTAGATTCTAAGAGAATGACTTGGGCTGTGTGGAGCACAGCTTTTTAGATCCTGACCTAGTGTCTTCAACTAAGTTCGGCTTACAAGGTGTCAAATAATCATATAAACTAATCAAGGAATAATGAGAGAGCCAGAGGACTTCTTTCTAGGATATATCCTAGAAGGTGTGTTCATGATCTTGGAAGAAGTGCTCTGGGTTTTTCATTATTCTTTGATTAAATATATATTCTATTAAATATATGCATGTATGCACACACACAAGCCAAATGCCACAATCTAGAGTCTAATTTATAGGATATACATACATTTCCAATATGTATATTGGAAAACCCCTGTCTTGTTCTAGTTCGTTTTGTTTTTCCTTTCT